TCAAAAGTTGATGACGTTACTCTCACAAACAAGTGACGTAACAATCAATCCCTGCTCCCAAGAGAAGATAACTCTGCAATACGCAAAGACGGAATAGCGAAAAGATAAAGAAATAAGTGAGGAAATCGGTAAAGTTCAGGCATACCTGTTCATTTGACTTACAGATAGTAGTACATTATACGGGGTGAAACTGATCAGTATGTGGAGATTGACGTTGATGGTGATCAGCTTCCCGTAATCGTTGCTGAATACGAGAGACGTTGTAGGTACATATGTCCCATATGTGTGTGTTATTGTGAAAACTACTCTGACAGAGGTGAGAAACGACTAGTGAAACACATATTGAAAGAGCACCCGAAAGATACTTGGATGTAATATTGAACTTACTATAGACAAACAATGAAGTAACACTATGGGAAAGATTATTAGCAACGTATCTATTCATTCTACTTATAGATGGACACTGGTACCACTCGCCCAGTTCACCTACATATGACGAGCTGTACCGATCGATTGCTAACATTCTCTCAGTGGGACTGTAAACCTCACCAGACTCCTTATCAGCGTTTTTACGAGGGCATCAACGATAACATTACATGCTACAAGTGCGGAAAAACTTTGAAGTATTGGAACCATAAAAACTTTTCTATAGAGTGTATGGATCACCATTCTATTTTACCATACCCACCCAGTTTGAAGTACAGAAAATTTCAATATGGAGCGTGAAATGAATGTTACACTTTTGAATTCGTCAGTCATCAGTATGGACAACTGATTAAAACTGACATATGCAAACCATATTCGAGAAATCATGTGTGAAACACAATGTGATGTAAAGGACGCATTTATTCATGTAGATTACATCAGAGTGATTCGTGACTTTATTCGAGAGACTGTTCGTTTTGAAGTCCAGCGAAGTGTTAGAAACGCTTTCATATCACAATTATGTAATGCCGAATGGAGAGTTAATGAATTCAAAACTAAAAAAGAGTACCGCGGTGCGGAACAATATACGCCCGTCGAATGCCATGAAGTGTTATATACTTTCTTATATTGAAATAAGATCTGCATCATTCTAAGTGTTGTTAGCTGACATGCTATAAAAAATGTGGGAGAAAATCTCCGGACAAAAAAAATCAAAAACTGAAATGAACAAAGGGCAATAACTTCTGCAAAAATTGTCGAATCAAAATTCTTTTCAGGAAAAAACAACAACATATCATGATTATTTAGCCTACTAAGTTTCAAAGAAATCCGTCAGAAAATGGAGGAGGAGATTGCCGGACAAAAAATCAAATACTGAAATGAACAAAGGGCAATAACTTTTGGAAAAATTGTCGAATCAAAATTCGTTTAAGGGAGACACAACTTCATATCATGATTATAATGTAAACCAAGTTTCAAAGAGTTCGGTCGAAAAATGTAAAACAATTTTTTTACGCCGGACGGACGGACTAATCCATACCATAATACCCCCCGTCGGGCGTATACAAATGGAAAGAGAAAGTCAGTAAAATGGTCACGTCCATGAATCGTGTAGAAGACTGGTTTCATAAAACATTATAATAAAAGACTGTATATAAATAGTTTGTCTGTATTGACATTTAAAATGTTGACCAAGGAAGAGAAGCGACTTGTTGACGGGGTGTATTACAAGTATTGAAATCCCGAGGATTCACCTCGCCAGGTCTATACAAGATTAGAAGATATATCCAGAGATTAGACGATTATAGCTTACAAAAACCAGTCAAGGGTTCTTTTAAGAGAGCACGAGTGGAAGTATCGGGTCCTTACGAAGAATTCCGAAACGATCTTGCAGACGTGTCGAATCTCTCTAAACAGAATGCTGGTATTCGGTTCCTTCTCGTTGTCATAGATGTATTCAGCCGCTTCTTATGGGTGGAACCTACAAAAATGAAAACGACAAAAGACGTGTTAGATGCTTTTAGAAAGATCGTCAAACACGCAAAAAACTAAAACGTTTGTATTCCGATGCAGGTAAAGAATTTACTGGGAATTGATGAGACAGTATTGTGAAGACAATGACATTAAATACTTTACTAGCGACAATGAACAGAAAGCTTCTGTGGTCGAGCGCGTCATAAGAACGCTAAAGACCAAGATATAAAGATTTCGTCAAGAGTTACAATGCTACACCTCAAGGATCGTTAAATGGTACCGCTCCCAAAGATGTAAACAAAACCAATGAAGCCGATCTCTTCGCCTACATGTATCTCAGAAATTAACAGAAAATAATTAGAAAAAGGAAAACAACGGTAAAACAGAAACAAAAGTTCAGGTTTAAAATTAGAAGCCTGGTGAGAATCTCACACTTAAAACAATCGTTTAAACGAGCTTATTAACAACAATGGTCTTCAGAAATATTTAAGGTCAACAAGCGTTTCTTACGTCAAGGTATACAACATTACCAGTTAATAGACTTTTTAAACGAGCCAATCACGGGGAACTTTTATCAATCAAAACTACAGAGAGTAGACAAGGACGAAAATGCGTTATGATTCATCGAAGATAAGTTGGAAAGGCGTATGAGAGCCGGCCAAATAGAATGGCTTGTTAAATTCGAAGGGTGACCGTCTAAATATAACCGGTGGATAGCAGAGAAAGACATCAGAGACGTAAACAAAGGCTAAGATGTCACATTACGTAGTAATTCATAGCGATGGAAGCAACAAATACTTCCCTCAAAACAAACCCTATCATTTCGGCGTACACTTCCAAACACCGCTAAATCCACACGGAACTTGGAAAGCGGCTTTAGTGGACATCATGTTAACTACGAGTGGAACAAAGACGAGACAGAACATATGTGACGAAAGCTTTGTCGATGGTGAAAAGAAAGCTGTTCTCCGTCCAATCAGAGCATTAAAGGTAGCCAACTGGTCCCAATCGTTGGATGTTCCATACTACATACATGTGAAAAAGTCGAAAGTTACAGACATAGAAAATGTATATAAAGACAGGAAAAGGTGATCTCGCTTCATTCTTAAAAGATCAAGCGACGGTTACACTTCATTTCAAACAATATCCTTTTCTATCATGAACGTTTCAAATATGTACGTTCCTAATGTAGGGAAATGGATTAAATATTACCAAGAAGTGGCCCGTGGAAAGGAAAATGCTTATACAAAAAATACAAAACGAAACGTGAAGCAATTCGGTGGAGGATTGTCACAGAATTCGAACGAATTCAGGATTCCTATAGACAAAAACGACAAAGATGAAGAAAAATCCTTACCTGCCAGAGAGGTTAACGTAAACATGGTCTCACCAGCTCAACAAGTCGTAGAACAAGCCAAGTCGTCGTCAGTCTGCCAGGAAACGCCGACCTGTAAACACTCCACGAATGCATCTGAAGAAACGAAAAACAGGTAAAGCAAAACGGAAGGCGAGTAAAGTGAAAAGTAAAGTCAAAAGGAAATCTGTGAAAAAGTATAAGAGAAAAAATAAGAATCTGATATCACAATGGCTGCGTTAAACAAAGATTTCTTCAGAGAAGCACAACCATCAGAATCAGCCGTATTTGACCTTTTGCTGACAGACAGCTGTGGAAAACATTTACTAACAGGACGTGTTACCAATATCTCAGATCACGAGCGATTCTGTGGTAGAATTCTTCGTTTCCGGACAAAACTGATTGGAATTACTAGATTAACGGAACAGTTTAATCTATGCAAAGGTAAAACTAACAAACACAGACGGAACCGCCATAGCCCTTACTGAGGATGTGGGACCCGTCAATTTGTTTTTACCCTCGTTATGTTCACAAGTGGACGTTACTCTTCAGGGGAAGATCATAGTTTCAACGACGAGTCATTATTCCTACAAGGCTTACATACAGAGTCTTTTGAAATACGGTACTGAAGCAAAGACGACTCAGTTGTCTACCCAGGTATGGAATAGGGACGACGAGGGAGCTATGGTGAACATAGTCCTAGGACCGGATCAAACAATGCGCTCTTGGCAAGACCTCAAATGTTCGAAGGTGGGAAAGTGGTCGACATGGTCGGTCCGCTCTATCACGATTTGTTTAAGATGGATAGGTATCTATTGAATCAAGTCAACGTCAACGTGAAACTATACAGATCCAACCCAAGTTTGTGTTGTCCGATACGACATCATCCTATTACAGGGTATCATTTGAAGACATTCGACTGCGCGTGAGCAAAGTGAAGATCAACCCAGCAGTCATCTATGCATACAGTCAAGCTCTCGATGTGACCAATGCAAAACATCCGTTTACACAGACCATGGTCAAGCAGATGACCATCCCTACCAGAACGACAAACTTCACCTTTGGTAATGTATGTCAAGGCATGAGGCCAAACCTCGTAGTGGTTGGATTTGTGAACGCCACCGGAACCACCGATGACTACGAACAAAACCCCTGGTTTTTCCAACCCTATGATGTCACATCTATTGGAGTGTACGTAGATGGAATATCAGTCGGTGGAAACCCTTAAAACTAAAGTACGGTGCAATCGGTGGTCAGACTACCATTCCCGTCTTTAGGACCTTGTTACAATCGACGGGAAAATGGCTCAACGATGCCGGTTCTAACACAGAGAGGGACGACATTGCAAAAGGATATGCACTCTACACCTTCGAATTGGAACCTACCTTTCAAACCAATCAATAGCTCACCTTATTTAAGCAAGGAAACGTCAGACTAGAGGTAATCTTTGGGACGGCTTTGACGACAGCGGTATCCACCATCATTTACTGCGAATATCCGGGTTACTTCAAAATCAACGCTGCGAGAGATATAGTGTTATCATGAACACTTCACAGTTGCGTTGTGTCATAGACTGTGATCCTGTAATGAGAAAAAGAGTCAGGGTTTACGCTCGTGATGAGGTACCGAAAGAAATGGAAACATTTCCAATTGGTTACATCGTAAATACGGACAATAGCGATAGTCCTGGAAGACACTGGTTGGGTTTCTATTGTGAATCATAGGAAAAGAAGGAATTCTTCGACAGTTATGGACATTCAGTTTTGTTGCGGCGGCTGGGTCTGCACAGTGTCAATAGCTCCTTTTCCCCAGCTTTATTGTAGGGCTGAAGACGGGAAAGAGCTCGTGGTATCCGGGTCAAAGCATGTCCGTCTCGTTCAGGGCTGTGGTGGAATGAATGGTCCAAATCTAGTTGTGGAGGCTGTTGAATTGTCTTAGTTGTCCCTTTTGGAGTAAGGGGTGTGGTAGGTGATTCAATCCATGCAGCTGGTAGACTTTGGTTTCTTCGTGGCGATGATGGTACAGGAATCTGGGGTACCTGTGGCGATGGCTGGACAGGAATCTTGGGTAACTGTGACAGTGTCATCTTTGAAGGAGTTGGCGAATTCAAGATTACTTCCTGAGGTTGTACCATAGGGGGTACCATCACAGTACTTTGTGTTGGGTTGCTTTGGAAAGGAGTGAACGTTCGAAGGTGCTGGCGGTTTCGGATAGTAACTCGGCCTGTGCCATCTACACGGATTACATACTGTTGGTATTGCCGTACTTCAACAACGGTTCCAGTGCGTTCCCATCTCATTGGATGGTTGCCCACTAAGTTTTGCATGTACACATGATCTCCAACCTGTAGGGGAGGCAGGCGGTGAGTGTAATCATTCCACAGTTCATGTTCCCTTGAATGCCTTTTGGCAAGTGCCATCTCTCGATGAGACATCAACTCGGTCCATGTTTCGCGAGGAGAGTATCTACCCATCAATATGGTAATGGCATCACGAATGCGTCGTCCAAACAGGATTAATGCTGGGGATGCTTTTGTCTCTGGGTCAACAGAGTTTCTGTACATCAATAATGCTCTCTGGAATTTATCAACATTCAGCGATCCAATTGCAGTAATGTTGTCCACAAGCATCCGTTTCACCGTTTTCACAGCCATCTCAGCTCTGCAGTTAGCGTGTGGGTTTGCAACTGATGAAAGCCTATGACGAACCCCCCAGGCCTTTAAACACTCTTGAGTCTTTCCTGCTGTGAACTGTGGGCCTCCATCGGACGTCAACTCTTCTGGGATGCCAAATGTCACAAACGTCTCACGAAGTCGCTTAACAAGTCCCTCTGCACCTGATTCGGACTTATATACCATTGGAAACTTTTATTAACTTTTTTTTGTACTTTTAAAAATTAATTTATGAATATATACATTGAGGAATTATTTTTGCTCTTAGGAATGTCACACTTTTGGAACATTCCTGACCATGTGCCAGATGTATGCCATGAAGAAGAGATGAAAACATCAATACATCCACTTCAGAAAAAGATGGAGCAAATGGTCTTTAATGAAAACAACTGTAAGTCCTATTTGCGAAAATAACTGTTGTAATACATGACATATAAATGTACCTATTTTCCAATCAATGGTTATCTTTTTCTGAAAATATTTCAATGTGGTACCTTTTACAAGTATATTTGAATAAAAAGTACATACAGATAAAAAGCAGTTACATGTACATACTTTATCTGTAATATGGGTTACTTTGTATATATGTGATACTGCTTGCTCTTGATTAGACCATACCACTGACCAGTCAATGTCTGCCTGACATAAGTCTTATCCATTTCATTCATGGCCTTATCTGTATCACTTCTGGTTCAACACATTTAAAGATAATAATTTTGATGTTGAATTAAAATAGTACCATATATGTAGTACAGTTTTAGATTAAAAATGTTGATATAAAGGTTTTTGGTTGATTCAAGATATGGATAAGGGATAAGGTGAAATGATAATTATTACACATTCCCTAATTACTCAGGATATGTTATTGAAAAATTATGCTTTGTTGTTTTATTACTCAAGGCCCGCCTCCAGCAATTGATCTTGATCTTTCAAGATACATTGAGGAAAAAACACAGAGCCAGAGTTCATGTCCAATGTGGAAAGCTCTACACAGAGGAAGGATCACAAGTTCCATATTTGGAGATGTTCTGCATGCTGGGCCCAATCCTGCATCATGAATTAAGCAGATTGTGGAAGGTTCAAACCTTGACAAGTAAATTCAATTTTCTTACTACCTTTAAGGTATACCATGCATAATACACATTTCTTTAAGCAGTATTTAAGTATTAATAAGTTTTGTCCTGAAACAGTACCAGGCTTTAGAAACATATTATTTGTCATTGTGTCTGTCTTTACTGAAAAAAGGTCTATTACAAGTGTATTAAAATTAATTTCAAGCAGTATTTGCTTGGAACCAAATATTTGTTGCTAACTAAACATACAAAATCTACATTGTTTGTGAAATACAATCTTTCCTTCCAATAAAAAAACTGATACACATACATTCCTTTTTTTCTCTTCTGGTGTCATAACAATGTAAATGAAAGATTAAACACAGGAGTCACTTTGTTAGTACAAATGTACTACTGTTAATTGATATTCTGTTTATTTGATATTTTTAAGGTATGCAAATTTACCAGAAGCAGTAAAGTGGGGACAGGACCATGAGGGGTGTGCCAGAGTCCAGTATGGAGAGATAAAACGGGCCCTTTTCAATGTTGAGATCTATCCTACTAGACTCACATTGTGTACATCACATTCATTTCTAGGAGCCTCAAGTGATGGCAGAATCATAGAACAGGATGGTGAAGGTTTGCCTGAAATCAAATGTCCATTTTCTTTAAATGGAAAAAAGATACTTAGTATGGAAATAGGGCACATCATGGAGATGAATGGCAAAAGCTTCTGTTTGGAATCTTCTGATGAAGGGCCAAAGTTAAAAAATAGTCACAAATATTATGCTCAGGTGCAGGGTGAAATGACCGTTAAGGGCTTACCTTGGTGTGATTTTGTTGTTTGGACAGGGGCATCATCAAATAGCATTGCCATTGACAGAGTTTACTTTGATGCTGACTTTGTAAGTGATATGATCCCAAAACCTGTAAAAAAAATCATATATCACATATATTCTTTGTATTATGCATAAAGCAGCAATTACCTGAAAATTGGACCTACATCTGGAGGTTTGGAACTTTGTTCACAAAAGTATGTGGATTATTGATTCTCCTTATGAAAAGTATACATTCTAATTTATTATTGTAGTGGAACTGGACTGGGTCGATAGTCGGCGACCAAATTATAAATAAATTGTAGCTCAATTGGTAGAGCATCCGCCTAGAGCTTGGAGGGTCCCAGGTTCGAACCCATGTCTGATCGTGCTTTTTTCCACTCCTTTTACGTTCCATTATAACTAGAACCTTTACCATATTTCTATATGGAACCAGTGACTGAAAGAAGTTAACGTGTATCAGCTGTTAGTTTCTGTTCAATGAAGTATTGGTCGTGTTTCAAATGTCATTTTATTGGAGACAAAAAGACCCAAGTGCATATTTATAATTTTAAGAATAGTGTGGCACAAGTACATAAACTGTACAAACTGTTAACATTTATCTTCTACAAGAGGGGTATCAAAGTTTGTAAGCCAGCAACAGACTTGAACAATTTTTGAAGCTAGTGGAGCAAGAGAAAGGGGTAGCACTCCTTCCAATATATGAAAATTCTTGACACGGCCAATACTTCTTTCAACATGTTTTCTAAGCTGTGCTATTTCCTGAGTCTGAAAGACCTCTGTTGTAGAAAACTGGTTAGAGTTTCCTCGAAATGGTGGAATATTTAGATAACACTGGCGTTTTTCTAACAGGTCCCCTATAGTAAATCCTTTGTCTGCCATAACACTGTCAAAGGGCTCCAAAAGATCCAGAATACCAGAATCCTCTGTTAATGTACGGTCTGAAACTCTGCCTCCCCAGGCTTCTGATGTAAATGTTATGACACCAGAAGGACTAATACCTACAAGAAACTTCAGGGTGTTGTGGTGTTTGTAATTTGAGAATGTGAGACTTTGATTAACTAAGCTACAAGATCTCTGAATGTAAATGTCTGTATAATCTAGAATAACTCTAGTTGAAGGATATTTTTCTTTGAAACATGATGGCATTGTACGTTTTATAATATCTCGACTTGGAAAGGGGTTGAGAAACTTCAGTTCAGCATGGAGCAAACTTATCCATGTAGTAAAGTAGGAAGAAAAAGTTGCTGAAGATATGTTAAATCTGTCAGCCAGATCCTGAACAGAAAGACCTAGTCTCAGCCTCATCAGCACAGCTAACAGTTTATCAGTAGTAGTTATCATAGGGACTGATACCCTCATCCTGTCCTTGGTTGGAGTGTTGACATCTCCCCTCCAATATGTCAAACGGGAGCTTTTGGATGATAAGTAACTGAAACGAGTTAAAATCAAATTATACATTTTCCCCACCTACACACATTAAACTTGTGTCGGGTCTTTCTCTACCTTGATGGTAGGACAG